CCACTTGACAGCCCACTGACAGTGCTGGATTTATGCACCAATTTATCAGCTCGCGCACGCAATGCGCGGCTACCTACCCCCCCACCCAAATCATCGGTGAACGAAACTGCGGCAGCCACAACCACTGTACGACGAGTACGCGGTTCTTACAGCTGACAATGATGGTAAGGCAGCCGGTTCTTACAGCTGACAATGATGATGAGTAAGGCAGCTTACAGTCGTTTTGTTGATTATCTGTTTACTCTTTGATGACGACGATTCGTGCTTCTCAGGTATATTCTCCAACAGTAAGGAATTTTCCTTGAATGCATCTAATCCCTCGATTCACAACCAGCTCAGCTGTGACTCTTAATAGGTGTGAAACTTAAAGTGATTTCCTGAGAAATCGACAACTTATGGGTGCCCAATTTCTGAAATATTACTTGAATCTTAGGTAGTATATGTCAAAGGCTTGCGGATGAGAGTGTAACCAAGAAGATACGGTGCTTTGTTAACCTGAACTATGTACACAGACAAAAAGCCACCTCAAAAGTGCCGTGCTTGCAGGTTGGTGAATGAATGAGTGTAGAATATCAGCTTGAACTTGGTGCCCACCACGCATTTAGTCAGCATATGTATGAGAAATTTGGGTACATGTTAGTTACCGTATGACGCATTCAAGAAGCTCCTGAAATAAGGCAGGGCTTTGTTTAGCGAATATGCACTCATGATGTTCTCTGAGAACATCATAAACGAGAGACTCAGCTGGGTTCCAGGTGAGTCTCTCAAAAAAAACCAAATTAGTTTGCAAATGAGTGTATATTCGCTAATTTCGTGCAATTTGGTTTCAAGTAGAACATAGGGTTGACGGAAACCCGGGGATCACGCCTACTTGGTGAGGCCCAAGAAGGGCGAAACCGATCGTGGGCTGTCGACGGATTTTCAGCAACCTCATGAGTAGTACAGGGCTTTGCTTATTTGATGGGATTCTCTATGTAAGCTTACGGCGCATGCTTGCTGATCACGTTGGTGACTAGGAGCCCCTGAATTTTCACTTCACTGGGAGGCGTTTCAATACCGGAGTATAAGACAGAAAGCTTTCTAAAAAGGTCAGAGAATGTGATAGGATAACGGTATGTCCAGTGAAGAAGAGCACGCACACCAACGAATTTATTAATAAGTTCGAGAGCATGAGGAGAAAGCCAAGTGAATTTGGTAACGCTGTTTGGACATCTGTGATCAGCTGATAGGATGAATCCAGGCATCCCATGTGGGTTTTGGAGGACAACTGTGAACTGCAGACTGCCATCGAGGTCTTGCTTGTGCACGTTCGAAGTGTGAGGAAAAATAGTATCTCTTTATGAAGCTCTAAGAAAAATGCGTCCTCAGGACTAACAGCCTCTTTCTACTCAGTCCTGTGCGGGCTGAAACCCAATGGTCACAACCAGTCAACGTTATCAACAAACTCGCATTGGTAGAGAGAATCAGGAAGAGCTGGATCTTGGACAAACATGCACGAAGGTAGGAAAAAAGGTACCGTGTAAGGTGACTGCCTGAGTTGCCACTTCAGAGAGCCCTCAATTGCCTATTTCAGTTGGCGAAGTATGCAGACATGGTCAGAAATCGCCCAATGCGTCCATTTGCGGGAGACCCCGAATTACACTGCCTTAGGTATTTGTGGTCTAGAGATAGCGAAACTTCCATTTTGGCCTTTTTGTCAAGTGAAGACAAGAATGCAATGGCTTCCAGTACAGCGCTTGTCTGTTGCTCCACCCATTGATATGTGTATTCATGTTTTATTTATTACGGTATTCGAGATATCGCATTATTTTCTGTTGACGGGACACTACTCAGTAGGTTACTGGAAACTTTGACAGCCCATGGTCAGTTCGGCTTTTCTTTGGACTCATCAGCTAGCTGCAGCCTCCGAGTTCGCGTTAGTCTTCTACTTGGACCTAAATTGAATGCTATTCACGAAATACACTCATTTGCACATTAATTTTGAACGGGGACTCATCTGAACCCAATTTGAATCACTCAACTTGCTTAAGGTGCATAAAATACCAGTGGGTCTTTACCAGTACTCGTAAGTATTCAGTGGGGTGTTGTCCTCTGCGTCACGCAAGCCCCACTTTTAAAACAAATACGTTGGGATGGAGTATGATTTGGAGTCTCCAGATGGGCCCAAAAGCCTATTCAGGGGACCTTCATCCGGGTTGGAAACAATCGAAGGTAACGAGGGGAATGATTAGTGGCAGACTGAGTTTACGTTCTTGTGCAGAACGCATGTGTTGCAATGTAAAACCGAAATCATAAAGAGCAGATGTTCAGACGTAATGCACTGCTCATAAGGTTGCTGAAAGCTCTTCGATAGCCCACGATCGGTTTCGCCCTCCTTGGGGTTCATCAAGTAGGCGCGGACCCCGAGTTTTCAACCTTACGTTCTACTTGAATTCAAATTGGACAGATTTTGATAAAAACACTAGTTTGTATGTCAATTTCGTTTTCTCGGGAGATTCAACTGAGTCTCTAGTTTACTAATTTTCAACTGAATGTGCCTCGCAAAGGCCACCTCATGCTTCAGCTGGTACGATATTCGATGTATCGCAGTATATTCTCATAAAGGGAACTACTCACAGGGTTGCTGAAAAATTTTCGGCAGCCCACGACCGGTTTTGCCCTTTTTGATGCTTCAAAATGTCAGCTGGGTTCCAGGTGATTCTCTCGTCAAAACCAAATTGATATGCAAATTAGTGTATTTGTCGAAATCAGTCCATTTTGGGTTGACGGACACTCGGGGATCACGCCTACCTGATGAGGCCCAAGAAGGGCGAAACCGGTCGTGGGCTGTCGAAGACTTTTCAGCAACCTTATGAGCAATGTATTGCGTCTGTGCATTATATCGCGATATCTCTATTATTGTACCAACTGGAACATGAGGCAGCTTGGTTCAGCACATTCAGTTGGTTAAAACCAAATTGGTATACAAATCAGTGTATTTCGTTCAGAGCAGGTGTTTGTTTTACCCTTTATTGTTGTGCTTGTCTACCATGTGGATCGCCAAGCCAAACAGACGTAGGTTGGACGATAGTGTCTCCTCACCTGATAGCATTATCAGCATGTCATTATTTTGCTGGTTCGTTTATCAGTTCGCTTCCCCTCAGGATGATGCAGACCGATACACTGCTGTTAGATTCAGCACCACTAACGGGCTCCCGTAGGTCAACAGTATTTTGATTTAGCCAGAAAACTACTGGAGCTTCGCAGACATACCGATAATAAACGCTGGTTGGGGGACGTAAAAAGGTCTCCTGTCGGTTTTTTGTGGCCTTTTGCCCCGAACCAACCCACCCTACTAGGTATACACCATACTGTCAGCGGCCCATATTAATTTCATCAAACAAAACAACGACTGGCGACCGGATTGCGAACGCTGGCCCCTCAAGCACAAGTGTCTCCGCATCTGCAGGAATAGTTTGTTATGCGCTGTATCCCGGGTAACAAGGACATTAGGCTGGTGGCCAGAGTTGTACATGGACAGAAAGGCATTTGACATATTTTTGGGCCGATGGCCATAGTTGTCTCCTTTCATGGTGGGAAGGTTTGGTTGACTTGGTCTATCCAGATGACATCATTACGCGACTCGATGACTGTCATTTTGCGGTTTATTTTCAATCGAATGTCGGAAGTACTCCCTTGTTTCGGTGTACGTTTTATACCTTTGAGGTGCGAGACCCTGCTTTCGTCCATCAAAGTAGGCGTTACTGTTCATTCTGACCTCCGAATAACGAAACTTTGGTAGATAGTAGACCATGACACGGTAACACGGTCAAACTTGATTTTTTCGTCTTTCTGATTGGAAACCACATTATTCTCCCGGAACATGGTTAGACATGCTTCTCCTGTTTTCCTTGGGAGCATAGTAAGCCTTGTCCAAATCTTGTACTTGATTTAGATAGAAAAATTAGGTGACTGTTCTAAGGAGGACAATTTTGTGTTTATTCACACCGATATGTTGTTTCGGATTAGCAGTCCACTGAGCTTGTTTCAGAGGAGTAAACATTTGGTATGAATGTTTTTCTGCCTTGGATGCACATTGTCCATCCTACAAAGAACGCTGTTTGATAGAAATGACCCACCTGAGCAAACAAGTTGTTTGAACCGGAAACCCAAGCAGGTGACCAGTTCGGAGGTAGTGTCTCTTTCCTTCTAAACGCAACTGTAACATCATTAACGAAGATAACAACATCACTGTTGACACCGATTCTTTGCAGCCGTGTAACCGCGATTTCTCAGATTATACTTTGAGTGAAGAGAAGCGAAAAGAGCAGGTCAGGTAGGGGACCTCGCGCTGGCCTATCGCAATCATTCTGAGGTGCGTACATCTCCCAATGCACCGAGTTACTTTCTCTCCTCATGTACCAGTTAGCTCATTGTGCTCAACCCTAATATTTCCCAATTGTTGATCACGTGTACAGTTTACTCGCAGCACACATCAATGTCCCCATAAGTCCAGCATATCACTGACACCTTGAATTTTCTGACTTGGAATTTCCCTCTTCAGACAAAGATGCTTGACCATGGAGTAAAAATATGGTTGACGTGACAAATTACTGTTTATAGCACCAAGCGCTACTTGAGCTTTCTTATCAAGCGTCAGAGTAGCTCTTCGTCCTACACGCCTGTTTGCTAGCTGTAGACAGCATATATCTGTGGAGATTTCACATGTATATCGTTGTAATTGCAGAAAAATGGATCCGGACGAGAAGAATCGGTTGTTGGCGCATTCGATCAAATTTATGAAAAAGGTTGTTAATGCCGCTGGTTTGACCGCTGTATCAAGAAATTTCAATCGGTATGAGGTAATTTCTGTCCTAAACGCTCTATATTCTGCAGGACTTTAAACGACTTTTCAAAGGTCGGAAGCGATTCACAAAGTGAGTTTTCTCTGAACAAAGTATTTGGTATTTTTGGAAAGCTTTTCAAGCTGTTAGGTTCATCCTAGAGTGTACAATCACACCGTTGCTCATACAACGGATGTACTTACTATGTTTATGTGATGTCTTCAACTTTCTTACGCACACATGTCATCTTAATGCGAAATCTCATTGACTACCCTCTTGTTCTCTGCACTGGCCTTTCGTATTTACACTTTTTCTTGATTTCTAACATAAAGTACTCGGCTTTAAACATGCTCGACCGAGCTAGCCCGGACGTGCGTTAGTCTCGTATTTGTAATATTTGTCACATATTTGTCGAATAACCTCAGTAATTTAGTTTGGCACGACGTACCACTATTAACCGGCAAACCTGCTTCGATTAGCAGTCATTCACGTTGGAGCAAAAGACTCCACTATCTTGAGTGTCGACCCAGCTGAGCTCTGGAACGGTTCTTGGACAGCACGTTTGGTTGAAATATACCTTAAGAAACAGCTTTGTTTGGGTTTCATTTAAATGCCATCCTCACCAGCACTTTCAGTCCCTCTTATGTCCGGCATCCAAAAGCATTTTCCCGGATCCTATCAGCTATTAGGTTTGGATTCAGCTTTTATCTTCACTCCTTAATTCACTTCTCCCTAGATCATGGTTGGTGAATCACTCTCAAACCGAACCGATCAGTTACGCCACGGGATACGCTGGCTGGGCTGACTATCTTATATATTGGGATACTAATATCTCGCAGAGCGTTCTCGCTCACCCATGTGCGAGGTGAAAACAGTCTAGTGGCAGTAAAGTTTACAGACTGCGACAGTATACTCAATCGAGTTGTTAACTTTCGTCTTTCCAGACAGAGACCGTCAAACTAAACACATCAGTGATTGATAATGCGGGCACGGTCTGGATACATAGCCCCTCGACTGAAATGGCATGCTGACCAACCTGGAACGTTTGGCGATTCCCAAATTTAGCCGCAATCGATGTATATCGTCAAAGTGTGCAGCAAATTATCTTTTATGTCGGCAAAATACTCTCATTTGCAAAGTTAGTTGGTGCTAACGATAGGCTCAACCTATTCCCAGCTGAGTCTCTTGCTTATATATTCCTCAAATGGTGCTCAGGCAGAGCAAGATGTTAACGGAAATTTGCAGACTGTGCCCACCTATTGAGTTCCAGTAGGCGCGTAACCGTTCGTGGGCTGTCGAAGAGTTTTCAGAAACCTTAGGATTAGCGTGTTCTGTCGAGAAAACAGCATTCCAAGGAGGGCGCTGGTGGCTAAGTTAAAGGTATCCATGTGAGGACCTAGTATTGTTGTCACTAGGATATCTTCTGAAGTTGATTATTCAACCCAACTTAGTAATTCCCTACGCTAATGCTGTTGGTTAGAACGGCTGGCTTGCTTGTTCGGTCCATCTAGATTTCCTTCAAACGTGTACCAAACGACAAATGGGTACGTCACACCATCGTCCCAAGTTTGAATTTCCTCTTCGTTCTCCCTCGCGATGAATGTCACCTTTATTCCTCCCGCGCCTATTAACTATACATAACTCCCCATGGGCCAATAAAGTCTTCTTCGTGGGTATTCCCGGTACTTACATAGTGTACCACAGACCTGTTACTAAGGCTGGTTTCGAAAGACTGCTGGTATGTAGGACAAAATCGCCATACAGGAAGCGTTTAAAAAAAGAGGAAATCCTTGTTCGCATGCATTTTAATGTATTTTTGCTCTTTTAAGTCCGCCAAAATCGTCGATCATGACAACAACTGTTGGGACTGCAGTGATTTGCGGGATTTCAGAAAGGAGGCACTATATAACCACACCCACAACGTCCCTTGGTACCTCCGTAAATTTATATCTAATTCGTGCTCCAAGGGAGACATCTGTCATGCTTAGCAGTCTTAAACTGCATGCCTCCAATGGTCGAAGAGATAACACGGATATACAGGATTAAACCGCAACTAGTTAACCAAGTCATTCGTTATGTGCAACGATCCTGCACGCCACATATACGTCCATATTTAATCGTACTATGGACAGTTGGTGTCCAGGATAACTTTGTGAAACGAGGGCGTCAAGTAGAAGAGCGGCAACAGCTATGTTCATGTGTTGGTGATCCGACCACAAACTCAAACGCATCTCCCGTTATCTCAGTGATTGTTACAAAAAACGAACGGCTTTCAGATAGCATCTGAATCTGTTGCAAGCGTCCAACTCGTGCACTCGGACCCCTCGACAGGATAACCAACTGTATTCGACGAGGCTTCCGGAGCAGATCATTCAGACATCGGGAAGAATCGTTCTGATCTTAAGGGGGGGGGGGGGGGCAGTTAGTTTCAACTGAAGGATGTATCCCAAGGAAGTGATGCTTGGCATTCCGGGTTCATTTTTGTACATAGCCTTTTATCGATGGGAAACAAGTCCAATGATACGGCCTTGGCCCCATCATTCGAAAGTATCTCAACATTTGTGTCGCCAAACTCTGTTATTGTCGAGTCTTCAGGTCGAGGGAGATGAAACGCCCCTCCGCCACCGGATCAGACGGATAATTCAGCCTGATGATACGAGTGGAGTCTTTAGTTTGCAAGCAATGTACGCAGACAGTAACTTTAGGGCTGCTTGTTAGCCAGTGGTCCATGTTGAATAGAGCATTTGAATGTAAAACAGCAATAACAGGCGGCGCGCTATAAAGAGTTAGTAATGGGAACCGAAAGGGTGCGCTTATTAGTATCAGCAGCTGTGGTACGGCAGGAGCTGGGGACCTGATAGAAAACGGGAATATATGAGTAGCAACGGGGCGTAGTGTATTCGGAAAAATGGTGTTTTACGTAATTAGACAGTGAAATCTGTTAGTGGTGGCTAAGCTACTGACTGGCTACCCACGCCGGGAGACCGCACGCGCAGTTTTCGTCCGAAGATCCGGACATACACAGCATCTGGTTGAAGCACATAGTTCACTGTCCACGGTAGCCGATAACCAAGACGCTCTTTGGATCGCCGCGGACCATCTAGACTATTCAGTTCACCCGGTAGTTATGTTTGTCGGTGATCCCCAAAGTGACCCGACCCAGTATCGCCCGGTCGCAAGTTAAGTGAAACCTCATAGGTCGGTTAAAATAACCTGTTGACAGCTTAGTGAACAAACTTATTCCAGGACCAACAGCGGTCGATCCTACGGACCCAACGCTACAGCATTCCAGCTTAGCACTATGCTCCATGATCAGTGACTTTTTTTTGAAGATTTAGTCATCTAGTCAGCGTTTGACACAGCGGTGTCATTGTATATATAGGGTTTTTTTTTATGAAAGACCAACTAGTCCTACAAGAACCCATTGGACCCTGGCAACACCACTGCTTTTCCTTTGTGGCTGTTTGTTCACCACCAATATGATCAATGCAAACGTCGCGACATCCGAATTAGGAAGTAAGCTGGTAAGTAGTTATGGGAAATTTTCGCGATAGAAAGGCTCACCGTGACGTCTCGGAAATAAGCGCATCCGAGTTGGTTTTGGTCAGTTGCATATCGTAATCAAAAGCTTTGTGTAAATTATACTGGGTTTTAGGCTGTTATCCTCATTTGCGTGTTCTTTGCGTTTTCACAACATCTGCCACCAGTCCAGTATGATAATGTCTTGTTTGTTCTTTTCCAAGGCGGGGCATGTTGCCGGCAAATATGTATCGCTTGCTTCCGGCGCTCCGAACCTACAGACAAACGTATCTTTGTGAACAAAAGAAAACGGACACATGGGCGTAAACGACACGGTGTTAACCAGGTAGATTCTTCCGTTCTTGCTGACGCTTTGTAGTATGTTGAATGCCGACATTGTGGTTGTAAGCAGCTCATGCCAGACTTTCGTCCCTCAGACTACTCTGCGTAAGTTGCTTGAGCTGTGTAATTCGTGTACGATTACGCCCTGTTTTCTGTATTATTATTCCACCCAATTCTTGTTTTAAACTTTTCTAACCTATTGTAAGGCTGTATTCCAATATCTTAATGTGAATATTTAATAGTGGAAGCAATTCGGTCTACCCAAACGTTCCGGAATTCCTCACGGTATCATGGTGACGTCGGCAACATTACTGCAACCTCACGTGTGTGGTCGCAGTTTACCGTCTTTGTTGCCCTCATTATACCTCCATTATGATGTGTATGATGATAAATGAAGCAACGGAACCCGGGTTTGTGCCGCAGAACCTAGCGCCTCCCTCCGCCCATCATCCAACCTATGGCAGCTCGTTGGTTAATGAGTGCTTCATTGTCACAGTAGCGTCTTGGAAAAAACAGTTGTCAGGTCTCGCCTACAAACCAATCGAGTCTGCAATTCCTGACAGTTACTACTGACACCAGAAACCAACTACTACCGTGCCTCGTTTGTGCTGATTTTGTTACTTGAATTTACAAAGCAGGATGTATCAGTACAATGGATGTTCCATTTTGGCCGGCCAATACGTCGTCACACTGCTGATGCGGGTCATATCGCAGCTACCTTCTAGATTGATACTCTAAGACAAGATGCAGGCCCTGCATCTTAATATGGCTTAAAAGCTATATTAATCGATCTTCTGTGCAAATGTTCGATTCGTTGTCTAAATTAACCTACGACCATTAAAGTAGTGGGTCGATAGCTACATCCACTCAGGAAAACCCTTAAGCATAAGAGTTTGAAAAGCAACCAATAGAAACCCAACCTTCGTCGATTCAGTTAATTAGTAGAGCTACCTGAGTTGGCTAGATGCCTCAGTTCAGTTTGTATCGCCGGTGAGTTTTCCATGAAATTCAAATAGTTATGCAACTGAGTGTGCTTGTCAGCGTAGTATCAATCTTCTAAAACCATTCGTATCTTGACAAACATGGCCCTTGTAGGTGGTGGTGAAATTTTGAAGTTCTGACCTAGGTTTCGCTAGATCACGTGATTTGGATCCCATTATTGGGATTTGTCTTCATTATAAATTCGGTCGGCTGGCCTAAGCTGAATGACACGAAAGGACATTTTCTGGCAATGGACTACCTTTGGACGTAACATATAGGCTCCAATATCAGTATTCTTGGTTATGGTAAAACTGCGCAAGAAATTGTGACAACTTCCGGAAATTATTTCTTTTCAGAGTACCCGGTGGTCCTTTCTTTAGTTTCAACTACTGACCTCAACGTGACGCAACCCCTGTCAAACGTTCCAGCTGTTGTTTCAAAACAGACTGCTTGGTTTACCTTGTGGTCTGCGCAGAGTCTACTCGTGTCATCTGTGGTCGCTTGCTATTGCCGCTCTCGTTTCGTAGAGCACCCTCGTCAGAAGCTTCATTCACTACCGATTCGCCTTAGTGTAGCAGATGTCCTAGTCTACAATCGGTACCAGTCGGTGACAATAACCAACCAACTCTTACAGATGAGCTGAAAACACCCCTAAAATAATTCTCACCCGGGTATCAGGTTTACGTAAATGTACGCTGGCCTTGCAATCACAGAAAAATAGTACGTTCGAAGTTTAGCTTCATCCGAGAGATTAGTTGTGCGTATTGTCTTCCCTAGCTTAAAAGACACCGTTCACTGAATCCAGCAAGCGGTTCACTAATACACCGCGTTAACATGATTACCAATACCTGAATCGAGGACCTGAACGAATCATACTGGGAAGGAAACCTAAATGAGCGTCTTGGAGTTTGGGGTTGAACTAAACCTAAGTTGTAGTGCAGATGGGATTATGAACTTGAATTCGACCAGATTTTGAACAGTTTATCGGCCATTGATGTGTTCTCTTCTGTTGTTCTTAATTGCTGTCTCTTAAAAGGCTCGTTTTTTGGTTATTTACACCATGAGGCTCGTGGATTTCCCTCAGGAAGTAAGACTGTTGCTCGGTGAAAAAGATCACATGCCCTCCTAGTTGGTAGAGGCTGCATCTCCATGAGGAATCCTATCGAAATCTGTACTTACAAGTGATCCTTTTTCGAGGGAGTATCCAACTACTAACCCAAAGATTGTGGATTTGGATCTCCTTATATTCACAAGATTCGGGTTATTAACGATTCCAAACAAGGATGAGACGGCTTTTAAGCTTAAAATGGTTGCTTGCATGATAAAGTCACGGGGAAAAAATGGTCTTCAAATGCGGATAATTTACTTACTACTATGATTATGGACATCAACCTATACTGATCGTTAACCTCCGATAGGCTGGCAGCTTCTGAACTCTACGAAATGGATGCCTTTGCACAACTGATGGGGATCAGTCCACCCATCACGGTCTAGCCCACTCATTCAAGTCACCGCGTTTGGTCGATTGTCTTAGTAGGAAACCTGGAAAGAACTACAACAGTCTGGTTGAATTTTCAACAATGTTACTTCCCGACCATTATGACTACATGCAGTGTGCATTTCGCCTTACCCTCAGAATTCAGCTGTGAACGCAAAATTGTTGAAGCCTACACTCAAAGTGCGAGCGGATTCCGTTTTAGCACTGTTAATTCTGTCCCGTACGGAGCATGTCAAATGAAATTTACCGACCTGAGTGAATTGTGAAATAGCTATCAGAAATCCCTTTTTACATCGCCTTTCTAGATATCCAATTCTGTTATTTTTCTTGTTCTCTCCGTTATCCAGTGACCCATTGAAAACACCACAACGGCATCTAAACGTCGTTCCAAGTAGCAGGTACATGAGCGTGTATATTGTTTTCTAATCTGTTGACTGTAGGTCACTGAAAAAGAAGAAAAAGAAAGAACAGATAGCGGTGTACAAAACGGAGTCTCCTTGTATCAAAACTCCTCTCCAAAAGGCGAAGAGAAGGAAATCTGCGATGCAGGGCGTTCTTGCTCTGCTTTCATAACAAAATAACATTTTTATGTATCCAAGTACACATTCGCCTTCTAACCCGTTGTTCAATTTTGGTTTTCGCTCCATGTCTGCTGGTGCAGTTTCATTTAGTTACTCAAAAACATTGCAGGCGATCGTGGCAGGGAAGAAGATACTTCGCCAGCGTATGAAAAATGCTCTTCAAGCTATGCCTCAGGAGCTCATCGCCTCCAAGTCCCAACGACTTACAGAGCAAGTATGTTTTGACATTTGAATTGGTACTGGCTACCATCTTCAATGATTTCAATTATGCATGAATCGCATTCTTTCACTCGTTCAGTAATTTCCCGTGTAAAATATTGTTTGTAAGCTCCCAGCCCGTATTCCATTGTTATGGTCGTCTTTCAACACCTCATCACATAGGCTCGCCTCTGTTCCTCTTACCAAGAAAAAGCTGTCACTATGGCAATGGATTAGGTTGAAACGACAACTTGAATACACGTTAATCACACCGTGATAAGAAGACCGGTGACTGTGGGCCATAATCGTGTTGTGTAGCTTACCAGGTAGCCGTTCGAAAGCCTAGAATTATTCCCACCACGTGTTCCTCGTATGATGGCATGAGGATATAGGGACAATGCGCATATGAAATAGCGCTGAGATAACGAAATTGCATACACACGTTTCATCCATTAAGAATGAAACAGCTGTACAATGCTTCTCGGTTTCTCTGCATAGATTGGCTTCACTTACAGGATGAAATCTCCACACACAAAAAAGAACCATCACTGCTGTGTGATCTGGTGAACTCATTGGCTTGTGTTCTCGTGTGCCACGCTCAAAGCCCACATTCGCGACAAAGGTGTACAGTAGCAAGAACACGACGCAAGTTGGACCATCCAAACTAACACTATTTCAATGGGGCAACGGATTCATGCTGCTTCCCGTTCAGCACGAAATATTACCGACTCATGACCCACACTCGTAAGCCATTCATAACCATCGATTTCGCTGTACAACTGACGAAATGTCGGCCAATATATCCGTCATAGTGAGTATCCCAACAAAGTATATGTGTCGCTGCAAGTGACCAGACATTCCGCTTGTAACGCATGACGTGATATCGTTACGGCCACTGGTAAGGGATTGTGAAACACTCATGAGCTTTAAATTTCAACAGAAATCACGGAATGATTAAAGTCACTAATCAACCACGAGCGTCGCCATTATTCTTTCGATTCCACCGTCCCCTGTCAACTTGGAATCTGTCAGTCAGCGTCTTGACACGTGTAGCTTGACGTACGAACGGTACGACATTCCTAGAATATAGGCGTAGCAATCACTTGAACACTTACTGCAATGATACATGCCCGTCTAGCAGGACTCCTAGAATATCAGGCTCATCAAAAGTTGTAGACAGCAGGTGTATGTTTGTTACTGCGCCCTTATCAATTTCTCATGGGACTTCATAAATTTATCGCTAAGTGTTAACATGAATGATGCCTCGATCGCGACAGTTCCGGTTGCTTCATCATTGAGGTTAGATCAATCGAATCGAATCGAACCGATTGGAGTGCAAAAATAGGGTCGTGTGGATGAGTAACGAGAAACCAGTTACACGTGTTGTCGAATGCCTCGTTCAAAGTAGAAAATAGAGACACACTGAAGTCTAAGGCTGCTAAGCAGGCAAGACATTATTGTTCTGTAAGACTCAAAACTGAAAATTGCTGCAGCTCACAAAGTAGAGGTTTTACGGTGAATATCTGATGGAAACCAATCCTCAATCGAGTAAGAAGGAGAACATATTTGATCTCTATGACAAACATAAGATTACTAGACAGTTAACGATTTGATCCCATCCGGTGGGTGGAGGAGGCTCGCGAATATTCCATCGATTCAGGGGCCATTGTTCCATTTGTGTGATGCTGCTCAAACGCCGCATACACATACCGGATGCGTTACCTTGAAGGTTGTTTACACTCTGGTACTCTTGCGATAGCAGCTGAGGAACGAAAATCTTCCTGCCGCCTGCCAGTGCCTGTTGGATAATTTTCTCGGTGTTCGGTTCTTTCGGAAGGCTCAAATAAATTCCCATATTCCGTGATATTTGGTATTCTGGGGAAGACAGCAACTGGAAAATATGTGGACAAAACAACAAGGGTGTCGTTTAAGACAGCAAGACGTGAGTTTTTCCGCGAGTTGGAGTCCTTACAGTGTATTATCTGTCTACAGGTAGTGTTCTCCCCTTGAGCAATCACATCTAGTAAGCAACTGGAGGTGATCCATAAGACGGGAGTCAGTAACTCCACTAGTATTTTAACTGTTGACGAACATGTTTTCGGCAAGGTCTTTTCAAGTCATACAATTGCAAAGGTTAAGAGAGCGGAACATATTTGAATGGGTATGGTGTAAATGGACAGGGAATCGAGTGAGATGACATTGGCTACCTATCAAAGAACCATTAGTTCAGGTCGCCAATAGGATGACTAAACGGGACGCTAATGTATACTGGTTTCCTTCCTGCTGTGGCTGTGATGGTGTGTGCTTCCTCCCTGTTCAAATGTTTTGTAATAAATTTGTCGGGGAATCCATTGTCTCTCAGGACGTTGGTGAATAGCTCAAGTCATCCTATTGGCGACCTGAACTAATGGTTCTTTGATAGGTAGCCAATGTCATCTCACTCGATTCCCTGTCCATTTACACCATACCCATTCAAATATGTTCCGCTCTCTTAACCTTTGCAATTGTATGACTTGAAAAGACCTTGCCGAAAACATGTTCGTCAACAGTTAAAATACTAGTGGAGTTACTGACTCCCGTCTTATGGATCACCTCCAGTTGCTTACTAGATGTGATTGCTCAAGGGGAGAACACTACCTGTAGACAGATAATACACTGTAAGGACTCCAACTCGCGGAAAAACTCACGTCTTGCTGTCTTAAACGACACCCTTGTTGTTTTGTCCACATATTTTCCAGTTGCTGTCTTCCCCAGAATACCAAATATCACGGAATATGGGAATTTATTTGAGCCTTCCGAAAGAACCGAACACCGAGAAAATTATCCAACAGGCACTGGCAGGCGGCAGGAAGATTTTCGTTCCTCAGCTGCTATCGCAAGAGTACCAGAGTGTAAACAACCTTCAAGGTAACGCATCCGGTATGTGTATGCGGCGTTTGAGCAGCATCACACAAATGGAACAATGGCCCCTGAATCGATGGAATATTCGCGAGCCTCCTCCACCCACCGGATGGGATCAAATCGCAGATCAATCCGTCGAAGAAGGTCCGTAATTCATGATGAAAATTTTTTTCGAGTTATTTTTGTGGGATAGTTCTCTAGAAAGGAGCGAATCGCCCTCGTAGTAACCGTTACCAAAAAAGACACTCTCAGGGTTCTGCTAACGTACTCATTACCTACTCTGCGTTTTCACTGCATTACCATTCGGCTGGTGAATTTTTGTCGCGAAATAACTGGCGAGCGGCTGTCAGAAACGTCAATAGTCAAGAGTAATCTCCTGAATTCTGAGTTGTTTCTGCTCTGCTTTGAGGGATGATGGATATCAATCGCCCATGGTCTCCATCAGGTGTGTGAAAGCTAGATACAGAAAGGGTGTCATAGTCGGAAGATGTGATCGGATTGATTTGACACTTTCCATTATATTCCCCCAGGATTGCAATGGTGCACCCACTGTAAGTTGACACCTTTGGGACCTCTCGGATTATGGGTAACCAACTCACCTGCGCAATGCGACGTGATGTCGACTTAGGTTACTTTATAGCATGGACCACAAGGCCATGCAAAGCAGTCCTAGATTATAGCCGAATACGAGTCCTGTTGGTGTCATGGGAATTGTTCCTAAGCACTGTTACGAGTAACAGTGGCACCGGTAGATATCGCAGCAATCTCTCACTTTATCTCACCTTACTAATGCCTGCAGTTTTTCAGGTTGGACGTATAACCACAAACTGAATCACTTTACATCTGCGTTTTTAGGTGGTCTAGATCTACTGATTGTTCCTGGTCTGGCATTTACTCGGCTTGGTGATCGACTCGGTCGAGGTGGTGGGTACTACGATCGTTACCTATCCTGGTATCGTATAAAGTCCCGCTCGTCACATCTTCATTATCCGGTCTTACTTTCCTTGACATTTGAAGAACAAATTGTTGATGAACTACCAGTTGAACCACATGATATTAAAGTCGACTGTGTTATTTCCGCCTAATATTTTATATTTTTATCTGCAGCGTTGTACCGGATCTAATCAATGATCTTTCCAGCTACTTCTGCTAAAACGTTCCATCAGTTTGATTATGTCCACTTTATGCCTTCACGAAGAATCAAGTTTTCAAACCGACGACAAATAATGTTTGTTATGGGCAACAGGGCTGCTCCGGAAAAATGGAATGCTCGAAATTCGGTAGCATAAGTAATCATACCAGATTATATCCTTCACTTAAGATGGGATAGGAGTTTGTTAGGAACTTGGCATTATTATCCGCTTCTCGGGACTCGACGACGGCTCTAACTTTCTGACAGCAGTCGGGAAATGCGATGGTAGGCATTGATGGTTGACAGTGAAAATAAGCTAGACGCAACTTGTGAACATCAAGCAAATCAGACAGGACATTTGGACTTGCCAAAGCTCAGACAGCTTACCACACAGTCATCCCCCATGTGGCTTAGTTGAGTCATATTATTCGGTTATACGAAAGATGGTAAAAAGGGTGGGAATACTTCGACACTTATTGAGCAACAGTGGAAGCAGTCTGGAACGAGGCTAGTCGTCGGAACCTTCGGCTCTGAGTAGACGCCCAATTCTAGTCAGCCGTTCTAGAACCTTTTAGTCGTTTGGTAACTGAATTTCTGTGCGGTTCAATCTGCCACAACAATTCTTGGCCAACTGTTTCCTTTCAAGCACAATGAGTTCGATGAATAGTCAGTAAGTGGATTCGATCGTAGCGTACGAACGCTAATATGAACCAATCGATCCGATCGCTTCCATCACATGAACAGCCACCACAACCGTCGCCAGCAACACAACAGTACTGGCACCACACAGCTATGAGAAGAGAACGCCTTGGTGAACCAAGGAAAGAAAATAAGATGTTGGGATCTAGCATAATGCCGTCAGAACGAACAGTCGTATAGCAATGAAACGTACACATGGGCGTAATGTCGGAGTAAGACTTCATCAGCAGGACTCGCTTAGTATCCTCCGTGAGCACCACCCAAACGTAAACCCAGCTTAAGACGACAGAAGAGCTTGGTCAGACAGTTCAGCAAGAAAGTAACGGCATGATCGCCGCTGGGATGCGTTACGTATCATGCTCTGTAGGATTTTCAAGTCCTCACAAGCAAAGCGTGAAGATCCTACAGCACCCAGTTTAATGACGCATGCTTCTTTCACGCATCCATGTCATGGCATGTGTTCTGCTGACTTCTAGGAAAGGTTTGAGATGGAAAAATAGCTCGTGTTGGTGACGTACGTAAAAACAAAAAAAACAGTCAGATGTAACACCCTTTCGGTGCCTAGCTGCCATGCCACGCGAAGGATGCACGGGGGCTTGGATACTGCTTGGTTGCCCGAGACTACACAGGGGAAGTCGAGAGGCGGAGGTCGGGCTCGAACCACAGACCTTCCGGGCAGTAAATTCGCGCACTAACCACTTGAGCCATCTCGCCCCGACGTACGTAATACATATCCCAACCACATTGACCTGACAAGTTTTATTTCGCGCACTTTGATAACAAGCGCTTCAACCTCCGAAGTCGCTCACACAACTGCTGGGATATGTAAATTGACAGACAAATCCCAAAGAATGACACAAGTGGATTCAAAGTCCAGAAGACTGTACGTGCAAAACATGGGACCACTTCCGACAGTTTACCTGGAGTAGATTGTGTGGATTGGTGGTTATCGAATAACAAAACAGTGTCATCCGAATAATTCAAGTCCATCATGCCTTATCACCTCGGTTCTCAAATTTTTGTCCCTCGCGGGTGAACACCCAGTGGTTGCATCATTGACAAAACTGAAGGAAGGTAAACAGCAACCCTATCGAATCCCATTATTGTGGGAATGGACCCAGACGGTACGCTGCAAACCCGCATGATCACGAACTACAAAACAGTGTGTACGAAGTTTCAGTTCACCAGTCGTTAAAACACGTAGAGAGGATACCCATGACGTTGCTGAAAAACATAAACGGGAGATTAAGCTGGGTTTCCCATCAAAACCAAATAAGAATTCAATGAATGTATTTCGCCGCATACAGAGTTGTCTAACGGTAAAGGTCAAAATCCCCTTTGAGTAGAGGGTAAACAGCTACCACAGAGCGGTGATATGACCCTGGTCGAAATCCTGCTTGTTATTTAAGGATTCGCGTCTGACGTGCAGTATTGGAAGAGCTAACAACAGCGATATAGTAGGAATCAGATTTTTACCTACGCTAGAAACAGCCTCTTCAAATGAAGGCAAAACGAATGGTTGGCCCCGGTTCTCCGGAATGAATCCTTGTTACCAAATGAGGACAAATAATTTAATTCATACTGTGTTTAGAGAGAGCTGGTAGATACTTGGCTCCGCCGCCCGTTGGCTTCGTAAGATATGAAGCCGTTTTAGTAGTTCATTAGTGAGGGGAATTCCGAGCTACTTCGCCAAGGCTCTACATAAAGTGGTGTGTTCAGTCACGTCACACCAACCCCACATCTGTCCATGTGTCCAATTAACGAGCTTTGGCATGCGTTCCAAGTAGAAACAGGTTCCGAGCGACAAATAGACTGTCCCTGGAGGAATACTAACCTGTGGTATAAACGCTGGCTGTTAGTAGACATAACATTTCTAACGGTTTTCATGAAGGAAACTACTCACAAGGTTGCTCAAAACTCTTCGACAGCCCACGAAGGGTTTCGCCCTTCTTGGGGCTCATCAGGTTCTTTTGACACCTTACTAACAGACTCTCTCCTGTCTCTATTCCTTTCGGGTTAGTTGGAACAGTTCTTGTGCATTCCGGTCCTGAATATCTCGGCCCAACATGCCGGCCCGTTACAAACCCTCGTTTGAGCTGAGTTCTGACCAACCATCTATCCGAAAAACTGTCAGCAAGGATAGGTCTCGCATCAATGGATGAAAATGACAGTTCTGAGGTCTGCTTTCCGTGTACACGATTGCACACACCACATCGAGTTTCAGGAGTCGTTCCTTACTGCAGCTATTGCTTCCACGTTATGATCCACACCTCCTAAACGACCGCGACGACCTAATTAACGAGCCCATATGAAATTCGTTGGAGTATGCACGTTCGTAACTCATCGGATTAGGGGTTATAAAGCCCAAGACCTTTCTGGTGAACGACTTGGAAAACAGATATCCAAGTAGACAATACAACAAGGATTTTCCGTACCACAGCTAGTCCCGGTTACACAGAACACCGAGTGGACCGATCATAATTACTCTATCGTGCGGACAATTTTCTCTCAGGATAGCTTGATCTACGTGACACGAAGGTCTGGCGCATTCTAGAATGGATCAGGTTGGCAACATTATGGTTTTCAAACTTTAATTAACACATTGAGATGTCTGGATAAAAATACACTTCACCGAAACCAATGTAGTATGAGTATTCACATGCATTGGATAGCACTGAACGATACCGCAACGGCTGAGTCGGTCCATTTGCATTTACCGTTTTTTATGCCAATAAACCTCACTTGCAAAGTGAACTGGTACATTTGCATGAATGTGCAACAGCTTCAGCGATTCATTCTTGTCACCAAATTACGAAATTAGAAAGACAGTGTTGCTTGCTTTTTGACTTATTGTTTATCAATCAGTGCTCAATCTCAATCGATCCGCAAACGCGGCTTGCGTGTGCGGAGGGGCTTGCTTACGACAAATGGAGGTTGGAGCTATAGTTGTTCAGCCCCAGCATATGAATTCCTGGTATCACCGCTTATGACCATCATGAGTTGGTCCTGAAAACACTATTAACAGCGCAACTCAGTTGAGTTTCTGGGTTGGTATAGTCAAACAAAACCAGGTTACAGAGGGTGTCTCATTCCTCATCGCTTCAGGAAGCGACCACAGTTCTTGATGCCGCTGTCATGTGCATAGTGCTAGAAAGATTTGGGCGGCAAAATATCCCGATTAGGTACGATCAGGTGAATTCTATCGATCGGGATCAGTGTTCTCTCTATAGGGGATTCAGTAGTAAAAATGGGCCCAAAGTAAAATCATTGTCTTATGCAATGAACTATCGGCAAAACGGGAACCACCATACTTCCACGAGGGAAAGCATCCCGTTGAAATGAATACCGCAGTGGAGCTAACACCCATTGAGGATGTAGTGACATCAAAGAGAGCTTCACGAACGCCTATGATAGGACGAATTCCTATCTGACCATTGTTGAACGCAGTTAGTAAAGACGACTATAGTTTCCAATGTACATTTCTCGGGTGATATCAGCCCATTGATCAACCATGGTATGGACGACTAAATGTCAGAAAGCCAAAGTAATGGGTCACGTAGATCATTCAACATCATCGTCGTCGTTGACAGCATAATATCAGTGTTCAACACCGATGCTTCACTGCCGTACAACCATGACTTATTTGAAAAAAAAAATAAAGTTGGACGGGTAAGGGACTTGGTGCTAACTTACTACAATCGTTCCGAGGTGACTACACCTCCAAACATCCACCCAGGCAATCTTACTCAGACGTAGATCGTTACGTCTCGCTGAAAGAACTCGACACGTGTTAGGCGGAATCCAGAGCCTTTGGCATTCGCACTTAGGAGTTGCCGCACCCAAGAAGCCCAACTCGTACTTCATCGGCCAGAAAATCGGGCCGCGTGCCGGGTTTTGGTTGGCCACAAGCGTGGACTCAACAGCCGACCATGATTAAGTATCCGCTGAATGCCAGTCGCAAATGAACTGTCCAGAAGGAGACCGAATTTCCATAATGTTGTCACTACGCGTATTTTAAATACGACGCACTGTAATGCGTCCCTGACCTGGTTTCGGACGTCTAATACACTTTATGCATCCCCGATTTGTTATTTTTCTGAAACCGCTAGCTTAGGAGGATCAGGCGAGAACTGAAATGAGGTATCACCGTTACTACGATGTGCAATACAAAATCGCAAGTGAAGTCACAATAAGTTTTAGGCTTGGATAAAGGCGAGAATGTGACGTCCATTCCTTCTCTTTGTCCACAGCAGTCGAGAGAACAGAAACAACTTGTAAACCGGAAGTAGGTTTGCGGAAGAATCATGCTCCCCATGGAAGTAGGTGAGGAGCAACAAAGGTTTGAGAAGATAAGCTCATCAGGTAATTTTTAATCAAAGGCCGATTTTAAATACATTCCGACTTTTCTCGTAATCGGCTATTTTCAGGCCACTAGTCTGAAAAAAGAACAGAGACTGAGCCACTCACTTAAAACAAACTCAATTACCTGTGTGGATGACAGCCACGGAAACAAGGAAACAAGCCAATTCACACCGAAAATGTGATGTTGCCATCCGCTCCAGTTCACTTGCAGCCATAGTATCTACCCCTGGACTCAACATGTTCGAGCTGAAACGTACAATATATCGTTATAGAAGAAACAAAATACCCTTAGAAACTTGCTGGAGCCTACCCAAAGGAAGATCACCATAGAGAAATAGGTGCTTGATTTAACCCGGGGTTGTGGCCAACGGAAAGTGCTGCGGTGGTCCCCCAGGGAGTGGCCCCGGTAACGGGCTTTTTTGATGAACCAAGTTCAAGCGACAACCGCAATTGCCTAGGCTATCAGTGCCTGTTTCGTGTGATTCTACGCAAAATAAAAATGCGCGGGAATAACAGAACTTGCTAGTAACAAGCTGATTGTATCACACACATTCACACTTCTCAGACTGATCGATGTGCAACACTTGTATCAAAGTCCTGCTACTTTCATAAGGAAAAACGGCACCCGCTTCCGGTGGCAGTATCTCTCGTTTACACGCCTGACTTGAGGCGACAGGACAGTCCTCGACTTGTCTCGCAACAAAGGGTGTTCCCGATGGGTGCACAAATACTCTCATTGCACACTACTCCAGACAACCGAATGCCTATGACAAACTAACAACAACCTTCAATATATTGAACAGTGTTTAGCATGACCACGCAGCTTCCATTTTTCTGTTCCCCATGAATGGTATCCCACAGAACGTATCAGCCGAAAAACGCGATCAGGTATCAGACCTTAGTTGCCGATACCGTTTCGTCCTAAACAGTCTGGGCATTCTGAGATTCATAGGCCTCTAAACGTTCAGTCACACAATTTGGAAAGGGGACGACCACGCACTCCAATGAAACTGGCTAACCGTGACTTCTTGTAACGTCTCCATACAAGCCCAGGAAGTGTCAAGAAGTAAACATCCTGGAAGACAGACCACACCAGCAATACCTAAACTCATCACTCTTTTCACACCTTCACACCTAGACACAACTTGTCTAAGTCGCAGTTTGCGCCATTCTCATGGAGGCACAGAGAACAACACTCGTTCCTATAGACGACGTTTCAACATGTGTACTACAAGGCCGAACCAGTGCAGTTGATGTTGTGGGATGAAGTACGACTGAAGTACGTGCTCACAAACAAAAAAACGTTTGCTAATTACCTCGTTAGGAACCTGTTGACTTGATAGGACACAAAAAAGCTTCTGAGACACCTGAAGGTGCCTCCGCTAAATGTTCACGGAGATCATGTACCACAAGCACACAACAATAAAGTCCTTATTCTACACCCATCCCTTGAGGCACAGTGAGATACCTTTCAAACACCATAAGTGACGCAAATTTGCAAGCGCGGTACGAACCTCAGAGATCCATTCACTGACCTCATCAGACATGTTCGTCGGAAGTATGTAAATTTCTCCACAACCTGCAGCGCTTCTCCTTGAATGGCAGAAAGCAGACTCAGATTGCATTTCCTAAAGCATGACTTAGCAGTTTCTAAATGCAAGGAGCATACCGAAAAATGGTATGGTGGTGGTCGATTTATTCAACGGAGCTTGTGCTTGGCCTCCATGTGTGAAAATCAGGAAAACGTCGTCTGTGTGCTCCAAATGGAACGGGTTTTCACAAGCAACGGTGTGAACAACGGGGGTTTTCGCAAAAACTCCCAGCGTTCACCTCATTATCTCTTCAGTGAAGAAGTTGAGCAAAAATTGGGAGAGTGAATATCTTTGCTAAACCCCGCTTTCTGCACGGAAGCTTTTGAAAAGCGCACCATACAGTCTCACACTCCCCGAAGTATGCAAATGTAAAGACCAAATCTTGTTCATAATCTTCCGGGGCATACCCTGTTGAGCAAGTGTGGTTAACGCCACTGACCGACCGATAGAATCGAACACATGTCTGAAGTCAAGGGACACAAAGATTGTGGGTTGACTGGACATATGGCATTGTTTTAGCACCTGACGAAGTATGAAGATGTGGTCTTCGCAGCTTCTAGCCTGCCGAAATCTCGCTCGAAGCTCACGCGTCAAGGTCTCGCGAGCCGACCAAGAATCAGTGATACCAAAAGCCTTACTACAAAGGCCGTTTTGGCTACTACATTCACTGTGAGTATTCTTTTTGTGTGTAGCGAAGTAGAGCGCCTCCAGTTGCTATGGCTTCGTTCATCATGCATGGGGAAAATAAGGGAACTAGAGCCATATGTTGGAGGCAACTGACAAGCCAGTTCCTAGACGTCGAACTGCGAAGTTGTCCAGTGCGACAGGAATAGAAACATACAAGGTAGAAGCGATCGCTGTGACGCAGGATCACTATTGAATGCGCGATACAGTCGCATTTCTCAGGGTCATTTATATTAGCCTTGCACCGGCGTCCCCATTCAGCCAGACGGAAATTACTGACACCATCGAGTTGACTGGTAGGAGCTTTCATGCTTCCTTCAGGTAGCATGGCGCCATGCTGCGCAGCTAGGCACCGAAATGGTGTTACAGCTGAACGATCTTTTTCATATTGCATGGATCCACCGTACCCGGATCGTCTCCAGCCGACACTTGGCGATATGAACGGGGCTATGCGAGGAAATCGATCCTTTGACATATAAAGTACCTGGTCTAACGGGTGTGACGTATAGATTGTGACGAGCTGATCCACTGGGGGAAAGTGACCTTGGCAGAAATCCGCTGGCGTACCTTGGCACTGCATTACATAGCACAAAGCACTTTGAGGCCTTCTAAATTAAGCGGCCGCATCCCTGCTCCACAGGGGAGGACAGACTGAATCGCAGCAACGCACACACTACGCTTGAAAGCCTAACTGACATCGATGCCACATGTACAGGTGTTTGAAAAATTTTGCCTGGGCCTTCGGGAAGTCATTTCATCCTTGACCAGTTCGTCGAGGACCATGCAGCCGCTCACATACACAAACTTTTCAGTTACATCGGCCGGTCAATTAGTAAGTTTGAGGTTTAGGTTTGATTCTATCATATCACATATTAAAAATTTTAGGTGCAAACTAACGCCGAACCGTGCCACAAAAATACCTGGGTTAGTTGAAATAGTTTACATGTCTAAAAGATTTGGTTCAAGAAGAGCGAAATAGTCAGTGTACTTGGTGTCTGCGGGCGAACACCCCGGGGATTTTTTATCCGAGGTCTCAGGCGACTCAGGCGGAACTCTGCCAAAAGTCGCTAGAGGCACACAGATCCCTTATTGGGGGCACCGACAGACACTGACAGCTTCTGATGATCAATGATGCCGAAATCGACGTAGGTCATGGAAACCGAAATGTGTCACTCATCGGAGGAAGTGGCACAGCAATTGGTGCAAGGTGAAGATGATATCGAGGCAATCTCAAGCGGAGTGACACCAGACTTGATTCTCGCGAGCGACTCTCCTGAAGATGGACCAGCCGAGGTAAGATAATACCAGAGAAGCCACGGACACCAGATCGATGCCCCAATGGTGTAAGAGGTTCACTAAATTCGGCAGGTTTGCACGAGGGTAGGGACACAAAGGCTACCGAGCCTTCGGCTTCCGTCTATGTTGGCTCGCAGGGTGGATTGTGAATGCTGGCCACGGATTATGGGTGAGAAATGAACGACGCATATCCATCCGTGATGTTAGTCCTTCACGGGACGTGTATTGCTTCCTAGGATCCGACTAATAAACTCGTTGTCTTTCATCCACAGAAATTATCGTGAACTCCCACCTTCGGGGAATCAATAAGCTCTGGCGCTTCTATTGCGTGCGTACTACAAAACCAAGTAAAAAAAGTCCGCACTGCATGCAGCCGGCACACCCGAAATCCACAGCCTCGCTGGCGTGCCAAAGGCAAACCTCGGTCAGCGGTTACCGGAATATTACTGGTTGTTGGGACGGCGATTTTAACCAATCAAGGCAAAGCTGAGCCAAGGATGGGTTAGTCCCCCGATTTTTAAACCAATTGCTTTAATATTAGACTTTGGGGGATTGCAACCGCATGACTAACGGCAACCTGGCGGCCTAGATGTGTGATTCCATATAACACTCGTTCAAGTACTGTGATGTCCCCAAGCAATAAAGTCTCATGCTTGGTTCCGGTTGAAAACGCGGAACAGGTGTCAACTTCCCATTCAATTTCGAGTGATTTCTTAGAAGGCATGTTATTGGGGAGTAGCTGAAACTTTCTTCGCCTTTGGAGATGTTCCTGAGCAAAACCCCACCTCTTTCGGAGATTCTACCACTACCGACTATATATCGGGATAACCGGAATGCACTAGACCGTTCCAAACGCTTCCCCATTTCTAGGACCCCCTAGCAGCCAACACTCTCTGGTCACCTCTGAGCTCATCAATATTCGGCTTTTGCAGGGATGAGCGCGCTGAGTCACGATCAGTTGTTGTTACCATTATCCTCCCAACATCAATGAGATCGTCACAATAGCCGGTGCTGGTGACAACAATAGTAATAATAATCAGTGGCATGCGAGCGAACTCGAACTGATGGTTCAAAGAGCAAAGGGCTACAACCACTTCACCTTTATTTAAACACCTCGCCCTAAACAAGTCAGTGCAGTGCAGCCATTGGATCCTTGCCCAGGGATCCATAAAGGCTCGGGAAGTCAAGCACCGGGTGATCAAATCAGGACCTTGTAGGTGTTTTCGAAACAGCGATCGGATTCCAAAAACGTACCTGCACAACGGATGTGTTTTGTCCAACGTGACACGAAATATGGAAGCCATTAGCTGTCAGGTGGTCAACAAGGCAGCTTGTTTAACATTTTTATTCTAGTCTGTGGGACTAATCGGTGAAACCACACTTTCAACTGCTGATTATACTTTTCGGCTACCCATGTCGAAGACAGCTTCGTTGATATAAAACTTCCAAAGACTTAGACTCGAATATCCGGCCCATAACGCAAAGGATGGGTGAGTTAATCTGGAGAATCCCGGTTCATTCCCCTGGCACTGAAGTTCAAACACTGATGCGAAGAGGAACTCTCCCTAAATTCGGTGTACAAACGGTCCACCCATTTCCCGACGGAGGCTGACCCAGCAAGAGGGTCGAGAAATTGATACCTGAGCGTTTGACCATTGTTACCGCCACAAATATCTGTTGCGTCTAAATCAGCTTCGGGACCACGACCGTAATTCACCATGATTAATTAACCTCCGGTTTCCATAACCAAACTTTGGCGATACGTTCTTGCGGGATTAAAGTTCAATTGTTTCTGACCCAGTCTTCCCCAAAAAAGACCAAATTTGAATATACGTACTAAAGTACTCCTGGCGTTGCTGAAAACTCTCCCGCGGCCTACGACTGTTTTCACCCCCCTTGGGGCTCATCAGCTAGGCACAGACCCCTACTTTCCGTCAGCTCTATGTTCACTTTGAACTCAATTTACACATGCAGTGAATTACACTCACTTGCATCCCTATTTAATTTTGATGGCATCCTTTTGAGTAGTGTGTTACGTCTATACACGTACCGCGATATCTCGACTGTTATCCAACTGAAACCTGAAGTGTCCAGGTGAAGCACATTCAGTGGCTTAAAAATAAACCAGAGATAATGCTGGGTTCCAGGTGAGCCTCCTGTCAAAACCAAATTGGTATGCAAATGAGTATTGCGCTGAACATGGGTATGTTAACAGCATCCACGATACATCCCATGTTGATCACGATGCTGTATTATGGTGCAGCAAGTCTAGTCCAAAGCATCACGTAATATGATTACTCATGGTACAAAGCATCGGATCATTTTTCGGACAACGTCAAATGGGCTTGTCTGGTGCCGTTAAAACTTCAAGGACAGGCTTTAGCCAACTTGGTTCTTAAGACCGTTGCATCTGTGAAGCTTGACCAACACAACAGGAGCCCTAGTCCAGGCCTGGACTGGCCTGGGCTTGGACGGGGTGTGTCATGCAAATGTGCTCCCAGGAAAATCTCAAAAGTCTTGAACGTTGGTGCCATTTCAATTTTCTCAAGTAGGTTAGCTGTTTTACTGTCCTAGGGACGGACGGAAACCCCACTGGTTCTTCTTGCTTCATTTCAAGTTTTTCAAGCCGGCACCAGTTTGAGCAGCCCTTCGTTGGACAGCAAATGCCGGCGTGATTTGGTAAATGTGAGTTCTATTCTCTGGGGCAGTTTCCCAGCCTCGTAGTCGGATACATGCGCCGCTCGGCAAATCATCTCTGAGTTTCTGCTATTTTTTGAGCTCATCTTGGAGCCGTAATGAGCAGCGATATGTAGAACAAGCATCTTGAATTCCGTGATGAAATTGACTGGCTACTGAAAGTATGTCGTGGCTCGGTATCACTTCCCTGGGCTTACCAGGATGTTGCATTTGGCTGCGTGACCTTCTTTATTCTAAAGGGCCTGAAGCAGCGTGCAAAATTACAGGGTGACCCTGCGCATGTTTGGAATACCCAAATTTTATTGACCCTGAACATTGAATTTCGCTGGCAATCACGTTGGTACCGTGCTTTCCGTACGTAGCAGTTCATAAAGCCTTCAGCCAATCTGATGCCATAACGACTGTCAATGGCAATGTCGGCCCCAGTAAGAAGGGCCAATTGAAATCTATCCCTCCAGTTGCTCTTTGTAGGTTTTTATCATCGCCCCTGTCGAACGATTTGCCAGATTTTATAAATATAGCACCAACATGACGGCGTTAGTCGACCAAACTAACCTTGCCCTCGCTTTCTACCGCCAGGTTCGTAAAACCGGATCTTTTGTATATGGGCTCACGCTCGTCCGGCGGCGCTTCAAATCATTTTACAGCATCCCTCAGCGCTTAAAGTGATGGAAGCCCGACTGGGTACTAGACACTCAGTATGGTTTTTTGTGGTTATCCAGGAAGGGTGGTTTCATAAGAGCCCACTAATCTGCTGGGATCACAATCCAGCGGCCGACTTAGAATGGCAGTAGGGGAGACCAAGTTGGTCATCAAGTGGGGTCAGTTAATGGAGCCGACCAACCGAGTGAGCTTTAGTTTTTCCAAGCATCACAATATCAGCGTGATATCGTTCACATTGCAGTTGTTCTCTTATTCTTTATTTTGTGCGTAATTTGCTACCTGAACGAGATCAAATGCAGGGTTTATGAATTTGGGCAAATAGCCGCATGACCCTGTTTACAGTAGCTCGGGTTTTCTACTCAAAAAGGGCGGTATGTAGCTGTCCCTGAGTTTGAATTTCGGAGCCTGGTTAAACAAGAATCTTCAGCTCCTTGTTAAGATATCCGGGTTTAAAATTTACTCTGCTGTGTCAATTCTTCAGAAACTTCCTCTTATGGTATACAAATGTCCCTAGAATTTTCGCTAGCAGCAGTAACTTCACTCAACTATTCATCTATGGCACTTTTTCACCGGCAAACACAGCTCAGTTGCTTGAGTAATAGTCTGTGCACACACAATAGAATAAGTTCTCTCCAGAGTCCCTAGTTTTTAAACCGAAGCATAAAAACTATTGAGATTCCTTCAACGAATGAAGCACGCCCCATCCGGTTGTAATATGGGCCGCCCGTGTGTGACATTGAACCAATGGACAAAGAACAATACAGAAACCACTGTGCGAGCCACGAAAGAATTGATAGATAACTATGTGTATTTTTGGGTACTCTTCAATGCACTTTACTTCATGGAAAATGACTCCTAACTACAAGACAGGGGAACTTCGTTACGGCGAACGGAAATGCTCAGCAAAAGTCAGTAGAAAATAGAGCATAAGAAGCAGACGCTCAATGCAGGTTGTCGATGTCACCGTTATTTCCATCGTTTATCGTGGTTTTCAGGGAAACCCTTCAAAAGTGGAACACATTTTCTCCCGCGAGAGTGAATTTCACAATTACGCAGCCAGCAGTCCACGCTAAAGAGAAAACACAAACCCACAGGCGCAAAATATAGCACCTAGTTTTAGGACGTAGCCATATGCATGAAACCAAATGCTCCTGTGTTAGTTCTTGGCAGGTAAAAGTTGTAAATTGGAGGAATTAATGCTCGAGGGCGCAGTGACTTCATAAAACACAGCGAATTATCATTGCTGCAGCTTAATCTAAGATGATGCCTAATACATTGTTCTTGGTCTTCAGATCGATGTCTTAAATTCTCAAGCGCTCTTGACAGAACCACACACAGGACATATTTAGAGCCTGGAACATTCAAGCACTAGCTCCTCGAGGTATTTATCAGCCTTCTCTAATAAACCAGGTTCTGATGCCCGATTCCCTGATTTTCCGTCTTTTTAATAAAAGCACCCTGCAGTGGGTTTCTCGAGGACCTCTTAAAGACTTCTCTAACCAGTGCACTAGTCAACCACACTCCTTTTCTTTTACCAGAAAATGCTCAGCACTGCTGTATGCTGACGATTCACAGACATATTATATTGAATTAAATGTCCCGTAGATCAGCTTCAAAGCGTGCACAAGAGTAGCACATTTTCAACTTCCTTTTCTTTTACCAGAAAATGCTCAGCATTGCTGTATGCTGACGATTCGCAGACATATTATATTGAATTAAATGCCCCGTAGATCAGCTTCAAAGTGTGCACAAGAGTAGCACATTTTCAACCCTATTCTTATCAATAACAGTGTGCGTGGATTTCGAACCACATCATCATCAAACGATACCATCCGGTGTCACCAAACGTGTCCCCGTTTCGTCTGTCAGCAACGCTAAAACCTCTGGGTCCGTATCTCCAATGACCTTAATTTTTACAATGTCCTTCACTTTCCAGTAAAAGCCAGTATAATATTTAAGCTGATGTGACGTTCTCCTCCATCGAAAGGCTCATAAATAGCTTCATCTTGGCCTGCTCCATATTCACTCACCTGACAAAGCGCCGCAGCCATGTTTGCGTGTGTGGATTTGGGTGGCTGGGTATATTTATAGTCCGGAACCTTATTAGGTACCATGTATATCGGAATCACAAAACCTTCACCATCCATTTGCGTGCGCGAAAATTTCGAATGCGCCAGAAGCAGTCACACATGGGGGGAGATCCTGAGACACCTGAAAATCCTGTAAAACCATGGTTTGACAGCTGTAAACATTTCCATAACGATTAGGTATCTGGTGGTATCTATTCAAAAACTTTAAGTTCCCCCAGAGAGCCGCACGTTTGCAAACACTTGTCCCAGCTTACTCAGGGTTTAATTTTGGTGCGAAATGTGTGCTTTTATTGGCTGCGATTGCTCAGCATAATAGCTCCGTAAAAACAGAATGAATTTGATGCTTTCTTCACCCGTTTCCTCATGTGTTCGATTTGGAAGTACTGTAAAAGAGTACAAGATAAACTGTTACATCAATTCACTTTACACAAACTCATAACGGAGCATTCCTACGGACGTCCTGCCAAATACAATCGAGGTATTCTTTTCGGCTATTAGGTTTTATGAATATTTTGTGATAGTCGGCACATGTTGTATTAGGTACTTGTCAAGATTTTATCTTCGCCGGTATACCGACTATGTTACGGTGCCACAGGAAGAATTAGTTGGTCTATGGGGAGCAACAAGGTAGTACGATAAGTTGGCCGGTGCTTTAAAGTTTTGCCACGAATTTAGCAGTGTGGGATGGTGGGGCATGTAACATGTTTGGAGGGGAAATAAGAGTTGTACGTTGTACTACAGGGTGGTCATCGGAGTATGGCAGCCCCTGTTTCGTCGTTGCGATATTGTACTTGTGTCCACGGGCAGCCTCGTGCATGAATATATTTGGTGAGCCAGTTGGGCTTTTCAAGATGGTTAGGATTGGCCAAGGAAGGTTCAACAATCAAGGCCAGCGTAGATCAAGCGTATTTTTAGGACCATCGATGGCATGCTACCAATAATATGCGGCTCGTAATAGCTGGCAGCTGAGGGCGGTCATAATTTTCAAACAACGTAGTGTGGTGACACTGCCTGATTTGAAAAAAACGATCGAATTTCTGGTACGGATTGTAGAGGAGTGTGATCTGCGGTCGACGCAAAAAGCTCCGGGCGCTTCTGAATATAAGTAACGTTCTTCAACCAAATTATGCGCCTTTGGGTTTATGGCTGGTGATATAACCGTCCACGAAGCCTGGCAGGAGGGCATAGGTCCTTGAATTCTGTGGATTAGGTCTGCGTCACCTGATTTTGGGGTCGCCTTGTATACAACCCCTTCAGTTATGACCTCGCTGCGTGCAAAAATGCAAACGATGACGGCATCTTGATATCGCATAATCGGTAAACAAACGGAACCTCCATTGACGACAGTGGAAATAATTGTGGGAGTAGTGAGTTAAGTTGTGCAACAGTAATTTTACCTAAGGTGTCCAGGTAATTATTTTTTTTCAGAACTTTGTTCACTGCACAGTAATTTTACCTAAGGTGTCCAGGTAATTATTTTTTTTCAGAAACTCTGTTCAGTGCAAGCGGCTTTCGAAAAACGAGAACTGGAGTGACTAACCATTACGTTTTACCGATGCAACGAATAAATAAAAACAGTTCACTGTTAGTTGTATTGTATTTTACGGGCATCGGAGAGATGGAAAACATGAGTACGTAGGAGAGTCGTTGATCACCGGATTTTGCTAGCGTGAAAAGTTGATGCCCCGTAAGAAGCCTCACACACGGATAAGGGCTTAGCAATTGCTATAAGCAGTCACAGTAAACGACAATGCAGACAGTTATGAGAATGCAGAGACTTCGTTAGCCTTGGGTTTAGGTAATCAAGAGTAAGTGAGCCCACGGAACCAACATCGTAAGAAGGAGCCTAACAATTGCGATAATCAACCAAGGTAAACGAAGCGTGCACGGTTATGATGGCAAAGAGCATAGAATGGCCATATGTTCGGACAAATTTGTTGTGCTTTAAGACATATTGCAGATGAATGGTGATATTATTCCGAATGGGACAATTAGATGCAGATTCCTGAATACGGTGCATTAACCATTGTCGCGCAAATATGAGAATGGGAATCATCCACGGAGGTACGTACTGGCATCACTACTGCACCGTGCGTCAAGCTGTTTCACGTAATTATGACTAACACAGGTCGAGCCCTCAGGAATCAGTATTGTGACTAGGTTCGCCAAAAAACCTAAGCTCATTTCTTACACCTGATCGGTTTAACACAAGAAAAATTTACTCACCCGTGCAATTGGGTGGAATTCGCATAAAATATTCTGTAGATTTTACATCCAAATTAAAGAACACCGCACACTGTAGAATATGTAATATTTGATTTCGTACTTCGCCTTCCGCGGGCTATTGACGCATCCAAGTTGGGATAGCCGAAACTGTAGGGTATTCCAAAATGATGATTAATGAGGAGTTAGTCTAATAAATTAGAATCTTCCCGTGAAATGTTGCACGCAGCGTTTTGTTCAAGTGAGCGAAAGGTCAAGGTCATTGATCATCGCAGACATCCATTAGCCAATCGCTGTGATGAGCGACCTACTGGACGGCATGTTCCAGGCTATCTGAGCGATGCACGCGTCTCTTCAAACGCCCGTTGGCGTTCTGCGGGCGGTTGTTGGTCACATTCCCAAAATTTATCAACCCACGTTGTGCATGAATGGCCTACTTTCGAGTGATGTGGAGCCAGTGGGCAGGCAAATAAGAGACAAAACTGGGATCTGTTCTCCTCAGGATTTGCAAATCGTGGCGAAATCTATGCGATTAATGTTTGGTGCACAATCACTTACTCAGCTGCATTATCAAAGCGAGTCATACGGTGGAATATGTGCCGACTGCGGTTGGAAATTGCCTGCAAAAGTTACACCAGAGCAATGAAACTTACGTGCTTCCGGATGACTTGCCGTGCGTGAAAATAGCACAACATTATGTCGCAGCCGAATACAGCTTTGGCAGCCCGCATCTGCAAAGTCATCTTGTCCACGACGAACGTTTTGACTTCATAGTGTCTACCCATCATATCCTTGAACAAGCTGAACAGCTTGCGCAATGGCGCAAAATGCTCGCTTTCGACAAAGGCATACATTACGGGTCGAACGATACCCATGCCATCCGTCACAAGGAATGTACAAAGCTTGTAACTTAACAGCGAACGTGAGGGGCTCTAAATTTATTTACCCAAGACGGTTAGTGCCGTGTGTAGCATCAACGTTTACAACGTCCGGGAAACGTTTAAAGAGGACTATCTGCTGCGTTCGAGAAAAGCACAGGTGACCATATCTGCCACCCTCCGATTCCAACAACAGCACGCGAC